ACAGGTTCTGGGGCTTAGGACAGGAACATATCTTTTTGGAGGCCATCAATTAACCCACCATACACACAGTCTTTGGAATCAAAGAGAGCCAGGCTGAAATTCAGTCTTAACTACTTACTAGTTTGTCTTGGGCAAGTTTAGTGATCTCCCTGAACTTCCTTAATCCTTAAAATAGAAATATTCCTATAATCCTAGCACTTTGGGAGGCTGAGGTGAGAGGATTGCCTGGGCTCATGGGTTCAAGACCAGCCCGGGCAATTTGGCAAGACCTCATCTCTACTATAAATAAAAAAAAATTATTGTGGTGACTCATGCCTGTGGTTCCAGCTACTTGGAAGGCTGAGGCGGAAGGATCGCCTGAACCCAGCAGTCTGAGGCTGCAGTGGCCGTGAGCATGCCACTGTACTCCAGCCTGGGCAACAGAGTGAGACTCTGATTCAAAAAATATATATATTGATATTGATAGGGCTGCTATGAGAATTAAATAAGATAATGGCTGCTTGGCGTATAGACACATTCAGTTGGAATGGTCTTGATGACAATGATGATGATGAAAATGATATTAAAGAACTGACTCAGAGGAGTGAAGGGACTTGCCCAAGTTCCCAATGCTATTTAAGTGGTAGAGCCAGAACCAGAATGCAGGTCTATCTCACACCACGGCTCTCCTCTTCCCACCCTGTTGCCTTGCTGTCCCTAAAGTAGTTTCTACATTGGCTCGTTCCTCAACAGCATTTCATGTTGGTCTCATCTGTGCCAGAGACTATGGGTCCTTAGCAGGAGGGTGAACAGCATCCTCAAGTGAAGTGAATAGTTGACTCTTGAACCCAGAAGGTGATGCTAGGATCAGAACTTGATCTTGAGTTTTTCCACAGGTGACGGGAAATCAGATTGTGGCCTCACCTTGCATAAGAAGCAGCTGGTCCCAGCATCCCTGTCAGGGTGTGACTGGCCAGTCACTATGCAGCCGGCATGGGGTGGGCTCTCTCCAAGTGCTGTCTCATCAATCCTCACCTCATCCCTGAGGGAGAGGAATCATATCCCATTTGGGGTTTAACTTCGGGGAAAAAGGCTTTCTGCGTTTGGGGCAGCAGCCTCATCTTGCAGGATAGGATGCCAGTGGTCCAGAATGAAAGAACTAGTGCCAGCAAAATAAGGGCAAGATCAATTCCTTCATCTCAGAATTCTTTGAAACCTGATCCACCCTCCCCTCAGAAAAGACCCGATTAACTTTGATCTTGAAAGCCGCTGCCACTTTGATTTCCTGTGCTATCTCCCCGGCTTTAAAAGGAGGGCATTCTTGTTAGTGCAGCTGTTACTTATGGTGATGGTGGGCTTGTTCTGGACCCTGAGGGAGAAAAGACACAGACCTGAGCTTGTGTCTTGGATGAGATAATGACCTAATAGGATCCAGGCCCTGGCAGAGCCTGGTGCTGCTGAGCCCGGAGGAGGGATCCAGGCCTGGCGCCCTCCCACCCGGGACTGTTCCTGAGGTGATGAGACAGGGACAGGCCTTGACTGGGTCTCCAGGGTACTGGGACTACTGTCTTGGTCCTCGGGAAGCTCATCAAGGAACAAATTGGCTGGATGTGGTAGCTCATACCTGTAATCCCAGGTACTTTGGGAGGCCAAGACAGAAAGATTGCTTAAACCCTGGAATTCAAGACCAACCTAGGCAACATAGCAAGACCTAGCCTCTACCAAAAAAAAAAAAATTAGCCAGACATGGTAGTGCATGCCTGTAGTCCCAGCTACTCAGGAAGCTGAGGTGGAAGGATTACCTGAGCCCAGGAGGTCAAGAATGCAGTGAGCCCTGATCATGCCACCGCACTCCAGCCTGGGCAACAGAGTGAGACCCCCAACTAAAAAAAAAAAAAAAAAAGGACAAATTATCACCTAAAAAGGGGACAAGGAATGGAAAAATAGGAATGTCTTCCTTCTAGTGACGTACTAGTGAATGGTTCTGGGAGCAGGAAAAAGGGAAGAAAACAAAGGAGAGTGATATTAGACATCATACAGGAAGAGGGATTGTTACAGGCTGAAAAGAGTTCATTTTGGCTGTATTGGAACAGTCATTTAGAAAAACTTGCATTAAGAAACTTTCCCTTGCAATTGAGTCAGGCTGAATATAGAGGTCACTTGAATTTAAAAGTGCACATTCTTTCTTTCCACCATCCCCCACTGCCCTCCACTCACTGGCTTCCTCTCCTAACTCAGCCTTGCCTGACTGGTAAACAGCAAGTAAGCCAGACCACCTAATAATTAGGAGAGAGGTCCAAGACTGGCAGGAGTGTGTCTGAAAGTCTGGTGTGGGCATTGCCCAACTCCCCTCCACCTGTGAATACGAGGACATCAGCCTGTTATAGGCCAGGGCTCTGGGAATACGAGATTGTTACAATTATGTTTTAAAACAATCTAATGCTGTCATGTTAAATGTTGTGACTTTCCCTTCTTTCCAAATGTTGCAATTGTCTACCCCATCCTCTAAAAGAAATTGTAAAAGAACATATTGTAAATTCTAAAATGTCAGCATGACCAGGAGACTTTGTGTCTTGTCAGTGGTCACATATCAAAAATTTTTCATGTAAACCTTGAGTCATGTTAAAACTGCATGTAGGCTTCAAACTTGGGGTGGGTAAAGAACTATGAATTTTGAGTAAATACTGGAATAAATTTGTTTTGCTTTGGTTAGCTTTTTGGTAATGATGCCAACTCGTCTCCCTATAACCTGGCTATAAAAAGTAAACATTCCCTTTCTTCCCAGTTTCTGCCTCTTGACTTTGATTAACCATGAGGCATAGCAGCTGATTTGTTAGATCAGACCATAAAAGGATGAGGAGGGAAGTTGTTGTGGTCAACGCAATCACAAGTGCAAAGCCCTCTGACCACAGGAGGTGCAGAGCTGTGTCCTCTCATTCAAGGAGGGCTCAGAGACAGAAGGTTCAGACTGAAGGAGCAGGAGCCTGTTCCATCTGGCCAGTCAGCAAACTTTCGCAAGATGCCTGTGGCTAGCACTGTGCTACCTCAGGAGACAAGAACTGGCACCAGCCCCAGCCTCTGGGTCAAGAGATGTTGGCAGTAATGTGGGCTAAGGAATAATGTGGGTGCATAGCTCTGGAAATGGAAGACTTTCTTTTGCAGCTCTAGAAGCCCCTCCAACAAAGGTTCCCAGGGTCTCAGAACACTCAAAGATGAGGCTGGGGGAAGGTGAGGGGCACTGACTCGGCACCACCCCTGCCCTGTTGACTTTCCCCCACAATGTCCAATGGTTCTTTCCATTCTCTTCACTTTCTATCCCCTCCAAGCCACTCTCAGTTCAACTCAATGACCAACCCAACTCAAGAATGAGAACAGTTCCTTCTCCCTGGGCCTGTCCATATCCAAGACCATTCTTGGGCCCCTCTTTGCCAAAGCAGTATACTTACTGCAGAAATCAACAAAAGAAATTCAGGCAGGACCTCTTATCTGTGGAATCTGCTTAGATGGCCGATCACCCCAGTCTCTGCCAAAGGCACAGGTAGGGTAGGTGTTCTCACCCCAAGGAGGATTGGTAAGAGTTCTGTGTTAGTCCATTTCTGCTGCTATAACAAAATACCTTAGACCGGTATAACTTATAAAGAATAGAAATATATTTCTTACAGCTTTGAAGGTTGGGAAGTCCTAAATCAAAGCACCAGCATTGATGTCTGGGAGGGCTGCTTTCTATTTCCAAGATGGTGCCTTGTTGCTGTGCCCTCACATGGTGGAAGGTGGAATGACAAGAGAGCACCGTCTTCAACCTCGAGTCTTTTAAAAGGGTGCTAATCCCATTCGTGAGGGCAGAGACCTCATGACTTAATCACCTCCCAAGGTCACACTCCTTTATACTGTTGCATCAGAGATTCAGATTCAACATGCATTTTGTTGGAAGGGACACCATCATTCAAGCCATAGCAGCATATTCGCCACTGGATATTCACAGTACAGCTTATGAAATGAGAAATATTTTGAGTCCTAGGAAAAAGGGGACTATTATAGATGTACTCCAAGATGGAAAACATAAGGCTCCTTGTAAAATGTTGATCTCAGGAGCTCATTTTCCTCTTAAATCCTTGTAAGAGCCCCCATTCACGCCAAGATAAAGCCTGGTCTTCACAGTGTCGCTTACAAACCCTGGCACAATCTTCCCTTTACCACGTCAGCTAGCCCCTGCCACTCTACATGCTCCCTGTAACCCCATAGGCTTGAATCAAATGCTGGATCCTGAGTAGACCATGCTTGTTGGTTCCAGTGCTCCCTTGCACAAGCTATTTCCTTGTCCAGCACACTCACCTCCTTGTCTGCCTAGAAAACGTCTTCTCATTTGCAAACACTCAACTCAAACTTTAGTTCTTCAACAGAAGATGCAGGACAGAGTGGAGTGCCCCTTTGAAGCTATATATCTCTCATTCTATAAAATTAGTAGAGGTAATTAGAGAAATAAATGGACCTAAATGTGTTTAATCTTTCAAGTCCAAGGTAAGTGCTTCAAATGTACACATATTTTAAGTACATGTCAAAGCATACAGACCTTGATGTAGTGGCATGCAGTGCACAGATGTTTGAGTCTCTTCATTCAAAAAAACCAAAATAACAAAAAGCAAAGATCCCTGGGACATTTGAAAAACTCCCACATAAGCTCTTATCTAGGCTGTCCACTGATCACCCCCCATGTGGGGGTATGGAGGAGAGACCCAAATGTCTCTCCAGGGTATTGGGACCATTCTAGAATCCACTGACCATGGTGTGCTAAGAAGGTGAGTGACTTCCAGAGTTCTCTGCTGGATATTTGGCCTTATTGGGTGAGGAGAGGTCCTAAAATCTGGTGGGAATGGGGGTAAAAATGGAAAAGGCCCTTCCTGAAGAAGGCTAAGGGTCTCTCAAGCTTCCTTCCTTCCAGACAGTACCCTCCACCCTCCTGCCCTGCCCTGCTGTTCCTGCCAGGCCCCAAATGAGAGACACTTGTTGGCTTCCTTCTCTAGTTCTGTACAGAGCCAAGAAGGATGGATCAGGCCTGCAGCTGAAGAGGAAACAAAGGCTGTTTTCATGAAAGATGTTATTGATTCCATTTTTTAAAAAGGACGAAACCTCACTTATAAAAATGAGTCATTGTGGGAAGCATTTGAAATGTGTCATTTTTCTTTTCATCTCTTCTTTTCCTTCTGGAATTTCAAAGTTGAGTCTGGCAATGGGAGTAGGTAAAGATTTAACAAGGTTTGTAGAACGTTCCTTCCTTCCCTCCCCCCTTATTTATTCACTCCCAAAAAGCAAGTGGTGCAAAGTCAAGTGCATGGAATCTGAGTGATGGAAGACCCAGATAGAGGTCCGAGGTCAACATGACTAGGAGACTTCAGTCCTCCTGTGGGCACCCGTAGTATCTCTGGGGGTGCTCAGCCCTTCCTGGGGTCTCCAGCAAGCACCCTGATTTTGGCCCAGTCAGGGTGCAGGCAGTGAGCAGGAGTACAGGACTGTCAGGTCAGGGAGGCTGCCATGGTATTCACTCACACCAGGATGTACATCTAAGAAGCCAGTGCAGCTACACAGACCATTCCAACCAGCTGGGGGTGCGGGGGAGAACAGAGTAGCCTCCCCGCCCAAGCTGTGTTTGTGGGGCTGTTTGATGTTTCCTTAAATAAGTATCAGATTGAACATTTTGAAAGATCCTACCTTATGTAAGTGTTATCCTCTAAAATAGAAACCCTACTTCATATTGTTTTCAGCTTTCTATGAAATGAGCCCCAGATCCCTCTAAGAACCCTTTATCCGGGAAAATGGGGGGAAGGCTGGGAAGGCAGAAGCCCAGAGAGATGGAGGTTATTTTTCTATTTTAGAATCACAGACTCTTCAGGCTGGAAGGACCCCCAAAGTCATTTCTGACAATCCTCTGCTTCCAGGAAGGACCACTCTTGACAACCGAGCAGGAGAAAGGCCTGTCTCTCCTCTAATGAGTTCAGAGTTAGGCTCCCATGCTCTGAGGCTGCACTGACCACTGACCTCTTTGTACACAAATGACTAGCAGGACTCTCCAGCTGCTATGGGTTGAGAGTGGGCAGAGTCTCTGCTCTCCCCATTTTTTTGCCAGCACTGTGTTCAAGTCCTCTACCTCCCTGCTGCCATCTCCTCATTCCGCTGCAGGTACATGATGGTAATTTCCCCTGCCTGCACCAACCTGCAAAGCCACGATGCCAGGCAGATGGTAGGTACTTAATCAATACTTTCTAGGCTGAATCAGCCCATGCACCAACTGGCCTGCCCAGTTGCAGAGCCTCTCCTTGGCACTTCCCAGCATGCCCACCTCCTTTGAAACCCCTGTGCCTGGTTAGCACTTCTTGCTGCTTCTAAACCTTGCCCTTCGTCAAGCTTCCAGGAACTTTGCCACCAGCAGGGCGTAGAAGAAGCTGCAGAAACCCATAAAACCCAGTCAGTTTCAAAAAGGAGAGGCCTCCGTCTGGTGCTGACTATCCTGATCACCCATCACAAGCTTAACTGTAGAGAAAACCAAAACCAGCCCTATGGGACTCAGTCCTCAGGAAATTTCTGTGGGGGGCGGTGAGGCGGGGATCAGACAGCTCCACAAAGAACTAGAAAATGGGCATCAGGGAGAAGAGCCATAACAACAGCACACAACTCTCAGGAAACACAAAAAGAGGTGTCATGGAGGAAGTGGAAGGGACAGAATTCAAAAGAAAGGCAGGTTGGGTTCAGGCTCAGTGGAGATGCCAGGCTGCATCCTGTACTATGGCCACCATAGCAAATTACCACAAACAGGGTGCCTTAAAACAATAGAAAGATATTGTCTCATTGTTCCAGAGGTCAGAAGTCCAAGATCAAGGCATCTTCAAGGCTGGTTCCTTCTGGAGGTTCTGAGGGAGGATCTGTTCCCTGCCTCTGTCCTAGCCTCTCGTGGTGGCTGGTGCTCCTTGGCATTCTGTGGCTTGCAGCTGCATCACTCTAAGAGGCCTCTGTTTTCACATGGCATTCTTCTCATGTGTCTCTGTGCCTTTACGCCTTCACGTTGCCTTCGTATAGGATATTAGTCACTGAATTTAGGGCCCACCTTAATCCAGTGTGACCTCATTTTAACTCGATTTATCCACAAAAACCTTATTTCCAAATAAAGTCACTTTCACAGGTATCAAGGGTTAAGACCTTGACATATCTTTTCAGAGGACACCATTGAAGCCACAGTACAGTTATAGCAGGTCAAAGAGACAGCATGGGCAAAAGGTCCTAAGACTGGAAGTTTCCAGATGTGGAGGACATGAGAAGTCTGGTGTGGCTTGGGCATAAGGAGCTGGAAGACAAAAATGAGAATGGATGGATGAATAGGGGGAAGTTGTAGAGTACCTTGAATGTTCAGCTGAAGGGTTTAAACTTTTTTCAGCAGGTAATAGGGAGCCATGAAAGGCTTTTGAGTGAGATATGTGTGGAAGAAAGATCACTTCAAGACAGTGTGGAGGATAGAGTGGAGGGGGCTGTGTGAGGCTGGGAGACCAGGTAGGAAGCTATTGAGATCATGCAGGCCACAGGGGCAAGGGCTGTGGGTGTGGGAAGAAAGGCTGAGTACAGGAGAAATCGAAAAAGACAATTTTGTTTGGGAAAAAGGGGAGGAAATTTTGTGAGGGAGGAAAGACACACATTAGGATTGGATGAGTCTCAGACTGACTGAACAGTGTGGTATCTGCATTTCCAATGTTTCTTCTCTGTTTTGTTCAGCTCTGAGGCTTATACTTTTGAGCACGGCCAGGCATATAATGCAGCTCAGGTGATCCCTGAGGCGGGATGGCTCACAGCTTGTCCCCGGGTTCCTATGGTAGAAGGAGAGCCCTGAAGGGATGTGACTCCAAATGCCAATGTCTCCACTGGCCTTGTGGCTCCAGACAACACTAGCTCTAATCACAGCATAGTAAGGGGTGTGTGATCAAAGGTCATAGGGCCCAGGAGCAACACTTCAGGGTTAACAGTCTCTGGGTCGAATAGCCAAGGGCTAATGATCTAGGAAAATTGGTCAGCTTTGGTAACTCCGTGGGCACCTGGGCCCCAGCCACTCTCGGGGTTGAGGATAGCAGACCAGTTCTGGATAGGCAGTTTGCCCTTGGGGAGTGAGCAACACTGACCATAACTGTGCCTCTACTGTGCCTGGGATGGCATCATCTGAGCCCTCACACATGTGCTCCAGAGGCTGGGGCTGGAAACCGGGGCCTCCCATCCACTCTCAGTCACACTGCCCTCCCTTTCCAAGTGCCAGCCCCACCCCTCCCCCACACAATAGGACTGTCTTCATGGTTACACCCTCATGCTGGCCTTTCTCTGTAGGTAATGAGGCAATTTGCCACTGACTAAACCTAAATTCCTGCACAGGAAGCTGGGCCCATTGATTCATTATTCCCCAAAAGGCAAGACAGACTGTCGATATGATGCCTGGGGGGAAAGTGAGAGGCGGAGACAGCCCTGGAGAGAGTGATCCACAGGCACAGGTGGGAAGGGGCCATGCCTGGCTTAGAATGTGCCCACAAAGACCCTCCCCTGTGACCTGCAACACAGCCCACTAGCTCATTCACTAAGTAACAAGCACCTACTATGTGCCCGGCACAGTTCCGGGGACCATGGACACAGCAGTGACCAAGACGTAAAAGGGTCCCTGTGGAGCTGTCATTCTAGTGGGAGTTGTCAAAGCCAAGTCTACATATGAGTAAACACCATTTGACAGATTAGGCAATATTAAATGACGTAAAGAAAGTAAAACAAGCCGGGCTCGGTGGCTCAGCCTGTAATCCCGCGCCTTTGGGAGGCTGAGGTGAATGGATTGCCTGAGCCCGCGGGTTCGAGACCCGCCTGGGCAGGCGAG